AGAGGAGGGGGCAAAGGAGGTGAGAGGGTGGGGGCAGAAAGCGGAAATGAAAGCAGACAACAGAACATTGCTAGAGAGCAGAAAAGGAGGTGAAAGGAGACAATTTTAGAGAAGAACATTTTTGGTCGCTACCCGGATTCGAACCCGGGACCTTTGAATGAGAGGCCAACACCTTAACCTCTAGGCCACGAGAGCCCCCTTTCATTATTTTGACGAGTGACTGAAATTCCCCATAAAGCCTCACAGTAAGCCACAGCCATCCTCCACCCCTCTATCGAGCACCATGCCACCACTTAACCCTACCCATAACGTCGTGTTTTACTGTCGTATCCATACGACGTGGGGATTTCTGTGCCACCACTTAACCCTACCCGTACCTCGTGTTTTACTATCGTATCCATACGACGTGGGGAACTCTGTGCCACCACTTAACCCTATCCGTACGTCGTGTTTTACTGTCGTATCCATACGACGTGGGGATTTCTGTACCACCACTTAACCCTACCCGTACCTCGTGTTTTACTATCGTATCCATACGACGTGGGGAACTCTGTGCCATCACTTTCAAAAGAGGAAATTTACTCGTTCATCCGATCCGAACGCTTTGCATAGCAGTCTGTCAAAATGATTTTTTGAGAAATACTGAAAGTTTCAAAGAGATCTTCGTACTAGAAGTATTCTAAAATGTGAACAAAATACAACCCCGGGGGTTAAAAATGACCCCAGGGTGTACGGATAGGGTTAAGCAAGTCACAGTCATCCTCTACCAAGCACCATGCCTCACATTAAATAATGATAATAATAATGAAGATCATTTCTATTGCGCCCACTCCCGTGTAAACACAGCTCTAGGCGCTTTTCATTAATGCATGTACGAACAATATTCACGCACACCACACACACAAACACACACACACACTCATACACATACAAACACACCCACGCACACATTACACGCACACATGTGCACACACATGCACACCAAACACACACACACACACACACACACACACACACACACACACACACGCACACTCACACAAACATATACACACCAAACACACACTCACACACACACGCACGCACGCACACACACACACACACACACACACACATATACACACTCTCACGCACACATTACACGCACACATGTGCACACACATGCACACCACACATACACACACACACACACACACACACAAACACACACACACTCATACACATACAAACACACCCACGCACACATTACAAGCACACCACACATACACACACACACACGCACACACACTCACACACACGCACGCACACACACACACACACACACATCTACACACTTGTTTATCACACGCGCACGCTTACCTAGCATCTGCGTTTGTTACGTCCGCGATTTTGCAGTTTTCAAAAAGAAAAAGCTACTTCATCAACTTCATGACATTTAGTATTTATTAGACATGTATTGATAATTTTAAGGTGTCCGTGGGTGGCTATTTCCATGGGAAGAATATATAAGTCGCCTACATTACGTACTATTTATTTATATTGCTGTTTGTCTTTTATTTTTCTCTCCTTGTTGGTGTATTATTATTGTGTGTTTTTCTGTTATTGTTCTGATGTGTTTTTCTTTTTTTTTGTGTGTGTGTGTGTGTGTGTGTGTGTGTGTGTGTGTGTGTGTGTGTGTGTGAGTGTGTGTGTGTGTGTTTATAATATAGCGTAATGTCATTTAATTTGATGTTGTTCCAACATTTTTTAAAAATGTGTTAGAATCTATATGTTAGAACGTGTCTCCACCAAAATCAAATACTAACACAGGCAGGTCCCTTGTGTGCGATTCCATAATTTACATATCCAGTACTTTTTCTTGAATTACACACTTTTAGGGTTAAAACGGTCTATCTTCGGATAGGTTGACACTCTCCCTTATTTGTTCATTTTTGCAGTTATTTATGTGCTGTTCTAATTTCGATTTCATTTTGTTGTGCAACTTTTATTGTTCACGTTTTTACACTCTGTCTGGCCACAAATAATATTCTGGATGCTTAATACAGAGCACAAGATTTTCTGGTGCTTGAGATGAAGTTACCTCTATCAACACAGAGCTGTACGTCGTCACAGAGAGTTGAAATCTTGAAAATTAATGGCGACTTTTATGTCAACTTTTGCCATTTTTTTTTGGTGCCAACTTTTGAACAAAATAATGGCAACAAACGCAGAAGCTATGCTCACACATCGTTACGAAAATGAGCACAACACACACACATAATAGAATAATATACACAATGCAATTCGCAAAATTCATCATAAATGGAGACATAGCCATTTACATAACATTGCACAGAACAGTCACAGTCAACCTCTACCGAGCCGGACTCTACAGTTAGTCTGTCAGCAAATATCTTCTCACTTCTAACGAAACAGGAACAGCGTCTGTGATGTAACGGGTTACACCCTTCGCTGCCTCACATAAAAAAAGAGTAAGAGACCCCATTTCTGCTCCAGAGTGGGGAGACATTTTTATCGAGTAATTCGATCTTTATGCTGGGATGTCATTTCTCTCTCAACTTGGATTGTTGTTTCAGTAGAGGTTTTACGGCGCTCGCATCTGCATAAGGTCATATGAGCGCCAAGGGGTGGGTGTCAACAGAGACAACCTGGATAGGCCCTGACAAGCTGTCCCCGTGGTTTTATACACCCCGCTTAATTTAGCAAAATTTTGATCATTTTTTGCATAATTTCTGATTATTTTCCTTTATCATTCTTTGTTAAAAAAGAAAACCAGAATCGCATAATTTCACATTTTTCGGCTCAGTTTGCATAATTACGGAATTTTTCTTGCTTAAAACGACGGGGACAGGACAAGCAATGGTTGGAAACCCACTGCCTAAGTGATCTAAATTATGTTGATGGGAGCGTAAAAACACCTACATTATAAAGAAAACACTTTTCACAGAATGAAGCAGGACCTAGAAGAGGCACCCTCCAACCAATCTGTCCCCGTGGTTTTATGCACCTCGCATAATTTAGCAAAATTTGATTATTTTTTGCATAATTTCTGATTATTCTCCTTTATTATACTTTTGTTAAAAATAAACAAAATCGCACAATTTCACATTTTTGGGCTAGGTTTGCATAATTTCAGAATTTTTCTTGCATAAAACGACGGGGACAGACCAATCAATACCAAAAACTACGGTCAACAAAACTAAGTGAAACAAATGACAAGCCAGATGTAAGAACTGTAGTCACCACAGTTTATTACATTTCAAATAAGTCAAAACTTCAGCCCTGACTGAATTTTACATCCAAGAATTTTTTCTCTCAGAAATGCATGCAGACCACCATACAAAGCCTTAGTTTCTTACGCTCCCTCTCACTTTCCTCTCTCGTCTCTCTCACTCATCACTCTCTCAACTCCCTCCCTCCTCCTCAGTTATTTCAAAAGGAATGCGCACCAAAGCCTCTGTTTTTTCATGCTCCCTCCTCCTCCTCCTTCCCCCACCCACCTAACCCGTGCTTATAATGTCCCG